AAAGTTCTTTCAAGAACTCAAAGGATTCATTAAACAAAGGGTCTTTCCTTTTGATATTATCGTACGTATGACATCCATTTTATATTTGCTTTGCTTTATAATTATTAATTTGGTTCTGCTAATGTAACCCACTTTTGAGGGGAGCGCGAGCCAAAAAAGACAATTTTTTGGTCAAAATTTTCTAAAAACAGTCTGATTCAGAGCCAGCTTGCGCGACCGAAAAAGCGACCTATAAGATAAATATCATAGGTTATAATCTATGACGCGGGTATTAGAATTCAAGCATAGTGTACCCATTTAATCAATTTGCTCAGCTAAATTTTTTCTAAAATCCACATTAGGGTGAGAAACTATGGACAACTTGTTTCAACAGGAAAAATCAAATAAGAGAGTCAGAAATACGGAATCATAGATACACTAGTAGAAAAGTGAGCTAGATTTGCTGGGAACGTTTTTAAATATAAGTTTTCCATGCTGATTAAAACTCAATAAGCATTCTATACAGGGTGTTTCGGATAAGTTTTTTTAAATGAATTTTTCACTATACTTTTTATCTGACGCAATGGAATTTTGAGACATTGAAAAAAAAACTTCTTTAAAACAATTAATAATCTTTTCAAGTCTCTCGGCGATTTGAAACCTAAGAAAATGAGATTTTCTCTTTTTTAATCCCTTGATTGACTTATAAGATAACAAATTGAAAAAAAATTTAATTAAATTTTCCACTTATTTTCTATTTTGTATTAAAGTTTCATTGCGTCAGATAAAGTACATAAAAAAATTCCAAGAAATTTCAAAAAACTTTATAATGATATTATTTTTTAATTTAATATCATAAAGATGTTACTGTTCCGAGCATTGAAAATGGGGAAGAACTTTGTATTCGGGTGTCTTCTAGTTTTTCTTTTTTTTGTTTTCCACGCAAAATCAGATACCACTAAAAATCGTCGAGCTGGGTTGAGTGATATAGTATAATAAAGCCCCTTCAGTCATGATTCGAACGAAATTTTTAAAAAAAAATCCCAGTGTCGAGAAAAATCGGTTTGAAACTTGTGGTTTTTCGTCAAGTTTTGACCAAATAAAATGATGATAACTTGCTAAATTGGTTTCTTAGGTTAAAAACGTATATTTTTTCCAAACGGAATCTGGTTTTTAAAGCCATATTGAACACTTACCTGGCAAGAAAATTTAACAAAAAAATATGGAAAATTAACAAAAAAAACAATTATTTGATGAACATATTGATTTAAAGAACATGTAGTTATTATTTTTTTGAATATGTTCGGACGGCCATCTTTAATTCTATTAAATTTTAATGCACAAAACTAAATTATAAGTTGTGAAAAGTCAAAAAAAATTAAACCACCAGATGGTTGATAAACTCCCAAGAACAATTGCAAATTAGTTTTCAAAATACAAAAATTTAATTACATATAAAATCAATAATGTTAAAATTGCCAGGTAAACTGTTGTGCAAAAAGTCAGTTTTTGTCTGAACAAAACAAAAACTCTAACAGAAAAACATACAATTAAAACTTCGTCGGTTGGTTTTATATTCGAAAAAATTAAAGTAACTTTGTAAAATAAATGATGGCTTTCCTGATGTTTGAAAATATTTGAACATAAAACAAAATGTGGTTTTTTAAATTATTCTTTGTTACACCTACTATCAAAATAGGCTTGAAAAAATAACACTTGTCTTAATTCAGAAACAAAAATAAGGACTGTAAGTGTGTGTGTGTGTGTGTGTGTGTGAGCGTGTGTATTTTAGATAAATATTATGAGAAAATAAATAAAAAGATGCAATAAAACTTTTTTACTTAGGTTTTTTTTACGCTTCTTGTATTTTTATTTTTTGTCGGTTTTTTGTTCCTTTTTGATTTTCATTCTATGCTTCTGTTTTGCCATGAAACACATTGGGTATTATTTTAGCGGCACTACTATCACAGATAAACAGTGAAGATATTTGGCATGTAATTTTTTTGATCGCTTTTCAAATATTTCTAGAAGTTAAAAAGGTGGGCAAGCAATTTGAAAAAAATAAAATTCGTTTTTTCTGTCATACTTTAGTGGAAAAAAAGTACAACAAGCAAAATTGTTGTATGGACTTTGTTTTGAACAATAACCTAAAAAACTAAGCAAAAAAAGTATTTTTATTACTTTTTTTTGCATTGTTTTGTATTTGAAATAAAAAGAACAAAAAGGTTTTTTTTTCAATTTTTTAAGTTTCATTCGTAGCCTTGTTTTCATCTTTGTAGCATTTTTTGTAGCATAAAAATTTTTTCCATGGAAATTCCACTGATCAAATTTGAATGATTATCAAAAATTCAATAAAATAACTGGTAATGTTTTTTTTTCTCATATTGAAATAGCTTTTTTCTCCGTTTATAATTTTGATTTAAAAAAAAAATAAAAAATCGATATCCAAAAAAACCCAAAAAATCTAAATATCAAAAATTATGCATGCATTGTTTAGTTTTTTCAGTCAATGAGTGTTGTCCCGTGTGAGTTTGTATGTGGTATGTGTTTGTGCGTGCATGCCTGTGTGTTTGTGTGTCTTTTCTTGCAAAAACCCTTTTCAAGGTTTTTCTCAAAAAACGATGGTTTTTGGCTATTTAATTAAATTGAAATTACGCCAAACTACTGGCAATTTTAGTATAAACAAGTTTAATTTTGTTTGATAGCCAAAACAAATAATGTCATTTTTACAAAATAAGGTACCAATTTTTTTTATTTGAAAACAATTTCAAAAAATTAAGCTCAAACTATTAGAGATTATACCCATCTTAAATTTTGCTGATCTTTTTCAGAAGCTCACTTTGATGTAATTTTGACTACAATTGGTACAGTACTTCAGGCGTAAATTTTATTTAACTACAAAAAAAGATCAGTCTTGCACCAATACAAAATGTACTATAATAATTGTGCTGAAATTTAAAATAACTTTAATTTTCTTCACCTTTTTTTGTCTAATTCAACTCAATTTGAAAAAAAAATCATTCTAAGTTCCAAGTCTTATTCGTTTTGTTTGGATTATTTAAATCAACACTGAAGTGCTGAACAAGTTTATTAAACGATATTTTGATCTGCTGAAAAAACTCTAGCCATGAGACAGTGAAAAGGCGTTCATATCGCAACCTAACCTCAAAACTAATTTTGATCGGTCAAAAAAGCTATTAAAAACAATTGGAGAGTTCTTTTTTTAAATCACTTGAAGCCAACAACTTCGAAACAATTTTCATTTAACAACAATCTGTCATCCAAAATTTCAGAACAAAAAAAAACATTAAACGCCAATAAACAGGCAAACGCAAAACTTTCCATTTAATTTGACGAACAGATTCTTACCAATTTTAAGGACTTTGTCCAACAAATTTGTTAAAAGCGCGTTTTGTGGCTTAAAAAAGTAAGGCTTAAAATACAACGCTTTTAGGGTGATATTTTTTTTAGAACTAGTGATCAACCTGACTTCTTCGAGTCAACGCTGACATTGATAATGATACCCCGCACTGAGCGCCGATAGATTTTAATCGATTATAAGGGATTCCCGAGACGAAAATACTCCATTATAATCCATTACAGATGTAAAATTCAGACAACGAAATTGATTATGTTGCCATTAAAACCGATTATAATCCACTTTTTTTTTGGCACAGAAATAGATTATTTTTGCCAAGATAATTTTTTATGATCAATCGATTTTTTGTTGAAATAAAAATCCATTATAACCCATTATAGCCGATTATAATCCATTATATTTTAAGAAACTTTTTGCCGAAATTTTGCAGGAAATTTGCAAAACGTATGTATGCCTTTGACTAAAAGCCATGTCTCGCCGTCACCCCCTCAATTTTTTCCCTCCCCCCAACTAAAGAGGGGGCGGTAAACTGGGGGGTGTCAATCATTAACCCACTCCCCAAAATCAACCAATAAATAACCCCCCGTGTTCAACTATAAGGGGGCGAATGGCAGTTGTGGTAAACTGACAGGGGGTAAACGGGGGAGGTAAATTGGCAGGGGGTAAACGGGGTGGGGGTAAAGTAAAAGTAAAGTAAACTGGGGGGGGGGGGGGGGGGAGTAAACTGGAGGGGGGGTTGTTCAATCAGAAAAATTAAAGCAAAAAAAACATATAATTTTAATGCGAAATGTAAGACTTTGTGAACTATATGTAGCAACTGCACTAAGTAGGAAATGAAATCACTTTAAAAAAGTTGTAAATTTCATGATTTTCTCGAAAAAATCCGTTATAATTGATTATAATGGATTATATTGGCATAAAAATATGAAGATTATAATCCATTTTTAATAGATTATAATTGATTATAATGGATTATATTGACAAAAAATATATTATGATTATAATCCATTTTCAATGGATTATAATTAATTATTTTGTAAATTTATAGATACTGACCATATTATGACAATAAAATAGATTATGATCCATGGGCGTTCGGTGCAGGACGCCACGTGAACGAACTCTCACTTGCATCCTATCTTTACACAGCCACAATTTGACCAAATTTGACAGGAATAACACCATGCGAAAATATTTGTTATGCCAATTATCTTGTGTCGAGTTTTAAAAACTCTCAATAGTGAAAGTAAAAAGCAGGGGTTGACTTAGAAAGGACAATAAGATGTGTGAGTGTGATAACGCTTGAAATCAAGTTGTAGCTCCAGATTTTCCCAGAACACCCTTTGGTACTGTTTCAATAGCCCTATAATTTTTCTAAAAGTGCCTCCGATGTCAATGTATACTAATTTTGTGTGCAAAGCACGCGCCAAAAAACGCAAAAACGTCCAAAAACGACTGTGTCTAAAAACGACAGCAATCAAATGCCCTGGAATGTGCAAAAACAATAGTGCTCACGCTGCATTTTGTGAGTACTTGCTTTTTAAGTTGCATTTACAAAGCGATATCGAACAAGCGAAGATCTACGCAAAGATTTTTTCAGCAATTGGATTTTAAAAATGCATTAAAAACAAAAACACAATAACTTATCATTAATATTACTTTTTCTTCGCATACTAATTCACGGCTCATCCCTCATAGTTTGACCTCCATGGTAGTAAAAATTGCTCCTCTGTGATCTGCTCCAGCCGTGGCCTGGTTCCTCCGGAATATGAAATATAGGTTTCTCAATCGGATCCGTCCAGCCGAAAGGCCTTTGATCTTCCACCTTCTCGACCGCAACTGGACGATGGCGAGTCGGCGCCCGTCTCGGCGAACCCTGGATACCTTTCTCACCCCTGGCGACGTTGGGTTTCGGTGGTTCAGGAAACATGTAGTTGTTGTGGTTGTCGGGTAGTCGTTGGTTTAACTTGGGGTATCCTGGGGGAACGTAGTCTCCGAACGGGTAGAACCCTGGGAGAGGGGGTTGCTGGTCGTACATTCCGGGGATGAGTGCACGTGTGTTATTGATTGCTGAGACCCATGTTCTGAAAAAAATCAAGGTAAGTTAAGATTTTTTATCCGAAATTTACGAGCTGCTCAGCTCATTACGGAAGTTTGCTGAACTTCTTTGGGCCGAAAATTGTTATGTACACCTCACCTCAAAAGCATAGAGCAAGGACAATTATAGACCCTGGAGCCACCGATCTTTCTATTGAGAAGCAACTCCTTTGCAACTTTAATATCTCTCCCCAGTTAGGGCTAAGACAAATTCAAGCCCTTATCTTAATAATAGTTTAACCGAGACGTCATTCATGTCAAAGCATTTTCATAAAATGAATGCAGTACTTCATTGGTAACAGAATGCATAATTTAAAGCTACTCAGTGAATAATGTCTATACTTTATGCAGTTTCAATAAAAAAACCAAACAAGATATTGGAAACCGGTTTTTCAAAATGAATTTTTTTAAATAGTCAACTGTAATTTCAAGTTGCCAAAATCTCATCAAGGAAACGTCCAAAAATCTCGGCGAATTTTCATTCATTGAAGTCAACTAAATCTTAAAATTCTAACCAGAAATTGATAGTCAAAATGAAGCACTTCAACTAACTTGGCGTCAATGACAGTTTGGAAGACAAAGTAGAAGTTCTGCTTGTGTCCCCTGATGAGCACCAGATGGTCTCTTGTGGCCCACTCAGGCATCAGGGGAAGTCTACATATCAGTGATACACACACATTCACTCTCACTTTACCAACTCATACGCGGATGCTTTTTACCTTATAAAGCAGGTGTCGATGTAGTTTTTTTGGGATTAGATTTTCAAAAAAACTAAAAATATCGTCAGCTTTTTGTAGATCGAATAAACTGATTATTTGAGCTCTGCCAAAACACTATAAGACCCTATTTTGGTATATTTTTCTGCGACACTGAAGTATTGGAAAAAAACGGGCCAGCACTTATTGGACGGGCGCTCTTTCTTGTTTGGTGATTATCGGCGTCTGTGGCATCTTCAGCAAAAAAACTGTAGGGCTGGTTGACCAGAATTGCATGTCTTATTTAGTAGTTAGGGGGGACCTTTTGGATGGTCAGAGTTGAAATAATAAAAGATGAACCACATTAAATCTGCTACTGATTTCAAAAAATTACTGGAATCATGATTTTAAAAAAGTTTCTCGAAAATACTCCGAGGCAAAGATTGCAATCCAAAAATCTATTTTTCAAAACCCATCATTGCCCAAAAACTGCGGTTTCCTAAGAAAAAATACATGTTTTTGCTCAATCAGGTCTTTCACTTTTTTCAAAAATTAAATTAATTGTCGATAGAAATGGTTAACTGAAAAAATTGTCTTGCATTGATGAGATGCATTAAGTGGATGTGTGTGTAAAGGGAAAGTGCCTGCGCTTTGGCACTGGAATTGAATCTGCATGGTGTATGTCAAGCACATTGCCTCTAGTGTTGATCATGCCATTGCAGGTGCCATAGGGCTCATTGAAGAAGGCCAGCATGCCATTCGAGTAGAGAGTGAGGAACTCCGCACTCCAGAAGTCACCGACTGAAAGTTTTTTTCGATATCAGAACACTAAGCTGACTAGAATTTTTGTACAAATGAAACACAAAAACTCAGCTCTTTTTTCTTGCCCCCACCCCACCTCACATGAGCATCAGTTTTATGGTGTCACGAGTGGTTTTAGAAGGTTAATTATGAAGACCAAAAAGGTTTTTTCATAGCCTAATTAGTCCGCATGTCAAAATTCACAACAATCGGACACTGTGAATAGCATTTTACTTGTAAAATTTTACAGGTGAGAGAAAGGAAAAAGAGCCAAAAGTTAAAGTAAAACTAAAGTTGAATTGAAAAAAAAAATGCAGTTAGAAACAAAAATTGACAGCCAAACTATTTGACCGCTGCCGCAAATTGGTATTTTACTGGCTCTTCATAAATATCAACTGATCAATCTACTTTTAGAACTGCTTTCGTTCGTGGACTAGAAAAGCTCGAGTGTACGAACAAGACAAACAATAGATTGAAAAGCACCTACACCTTAATGAGTTTAGGTCCGGGGTGGCCTTCTCACCTTCTCATAGAGTAATTTCAGATAGGGTACACCGTCTGTTCATCACACTATCTAATTTTCGGCGGGTATATTCGTGCAACTTCTTAGTCTAATACCGATCCTAATCTTACTCCTATATTTCCTAGTCTCAATAGATCTAGTATATACTGGTATTCTTGCGAGGTTAGAAGAGAGGAAGAGCAACTGTTTCTAAGTTAAATTATTTCTTCTCTGGCTGAAACTATAAATAGTTTCAACTTTACAAATTATCATAAATTTTAGTAATGTATCATGATTGGTTTGTTCTAAATATTTATTGTTCTAAGAGATATAGTTGGATATAAAATACTTGTTATAAACTGATTCCATTAAGACGCCATTTGATAAAGATCCTAGTTCAAAGGATCCTTCATGCCAGACATTTTATATGCCATGATAGTTAAAGGAAAAAGGGATCCCGTAATTAAACAAACTCAAGGGGCTTATCAACCAAAACCAAAACATCCTATCGGTCAAGTAAGAAAAAAACAATGAAGTTTCCACTATAACTTTTCTTACTTAAATAGCTTCGTCATTCACTTGGCTTCTGAGTTTAAATTCAAACCTCTCAATGAGGGGTTTTTTGAGAAAGTTTGTTTAGTTTTTCATGATAATTTTGTGATTTATCAAGTTTATTTTCTATTTTCCACTTTGCACATTTCACTTTGTTCTCCGGTTTATTGTTACGTACGTCCTTCAACGTCAGTTTGATAATGTGAAAGAAATCTAATACTTGCTAGTCTTAAAACGAATTGTGTAGAGCTAGCAAATATGGCTGGCGCAACTTTTGCAATTTTTGCATGTTGTCTCGCTTGCTTGTGTAACCGCAGTGCGTTAAAGTTCTCAATGTCGAAAAAAAATCGTTTGGAGTCTCCTTTACTGCTACCGAAAAAAAATTGCTTAATATGATCCAGTTTAATCAGTTTAAAATGTGTAGTTTTTTTTATTTTGGCTTGATTTTGGCTTGGAATGGGCAGTTTTTGACATATGGATCATTTGTCCTGGTTAATTTTGTCATGAGAGGTTTGGTATGGTACCTTGGCTCTTTTTCCTTCCCATGGAATGAAAAGCGCCAAGGAATGAATGAGAAATATGGTCCCATTAGTAAATTTTTTCACCAAGCAAAATTATCTATGTTATGACAACGTAAGATTGATTTTTCAAAACGGAAATTCAAATGTGGAGGTGAGCGTGGAAAAAAAAAACAGAAATCTTGTGACAATTTGCTTACTAGTTCACGCTGACACGTTTCATTGCAGTTTGGACTATAGAAATTAACTCTAAATATACTTTTGCATAAAAAGCATGTAAGAAAAAACCAAATGAGGGAACTAGGAAAAACCCAATTTTGTTCACAATATATAACTTATAACTTCTTCGTCGGGCAAATTTTTTTATGCTAGGACATTTTTCGAACAGTTTTTCCAAGCTGAAAATTGTATGTGCGGGAGTGGAAAAGTGTTGAGCCAACTTGATGTATCAACTTTTTGAAGTGTAATAACTCAAGCTGGCTTTTTTGCGTCTTATTCTAAGTCTATATTATTACGGTTTGTAAATTTGATCTAACCAGAATTTTTAATGGAAAAGGTTCTAGCATACAATTTTGGCTCTTTTTTCTTCCGCCAACCCCACATAAGCATCGATTTCATGGTGTAACGAGTGGTTTTACAAGGTTGAGTATGAGGACAAAATATGTTTGTCATAACTTGATTAGTCCGTATGCCAAGTTTCATAACAGTTCAACGATGTGAACAGAAAAATTACTCAGGTGGGGTAAAAAGAAAATTTTGTGGGGTAAACCTACAAAATTTGCAGGTGGGGTAAAAAGAAAAAGAGCCGGTACCTTTGTCATAATACCAACAACAAACTTTAAATTAGGTTTCTTGAAAAACACTCAGTAAGCAATTTTGCCGACTCAGTTTTGTTTTTGGTGGGAATTAACCTACCTGACTCAATCAGTCGAGTTAATCATAATTAGCACAAGTTTAAAGTAAGATAGGGCTGAGTTAGGAGAACTTTACTATAGTTTCAAGCAGTATCGTGCCAGGGGAGGGAGAGAGGGCTGTGATCACCATTAAAATCTATTCCGATCGCCAGTTTTTACTCTACGACAAATTTATTTTTATGCCATAATAACTCTTATAACCAGTATATACTAAATTTGAGATGGTTGAGAGTTTGTAACAAAAAACTTGAGTTTTGGCAATAGGTTACATTACATGTCCTAGTACGGCAGTACCCTGGAAAGTTTTTGGGTTTCAACTTAATATGGAGCTGAAAACTGAAGATTACCGAGATATAAGAAGTTGCAATAAAATTTTGAAAAAAAATACGCCGCGAAATATTCATGCGCACGCTCCTGGTTGGATTTTACAACCAATCGGAATGAGTTATTTTACATGGAGTAGTCCAAACTTTGATCCAAATCAAATAATGTGTTGTAGGATTTTAACTTGGTTAATTTAAGAGCGAGGAGGTTAGCTTGATCCGAAAAAAGCACTGAAAGGACCATTTATTTTTTTTATGTTGAGTAATCTTATCAGACAGTTTTTTTTGGTTTTTAAAAACTCAGTTTTTCGACTAAGTGGATGTCAAAAAAATAATTTTAAGAAAATAGTCGACTAACTTTTTCTCCAAGTGTTGCCGTTCTTGAGCTCCATCGCAGTTGCTGAAACCAACAAAGAAGCTTGAATAAAATCCAAAAATTAGGACAAATGAACACTACAATAAAAATCAAAAAGTTGTCCAATTGAAACCAGATTAGCAAATGATAATTTTCAAAGCATCAGGCTCGAACGCACCAATAAATATTTTTTTGGGAAACTTACGTTTGTAGAACTGTCTGAAAGCAACATCTTTCATCACATTTCTGGGTCTATAGTGACCAAAATGCTCGTTATACCACGGGGCATCCACACTCATTTTTGGAAGTTTCAATCCCAACTATTATTTCAATCTTTTTCACAATTTTATCTCGATTGTCAATTATGATAAAGCTTGTGCTTGAAACAATTGTGCTTAAAAAGTCAAACAATGAGTGAAAAGTACGAATTTTGATTGAAGTTTTCAATTTGTGATATTTTTATTGCTTTACAAAAGTACTAAAATTGCATGGAAACTTGGTCATTTTACAGTCAAAAACTGTTCATGCGATCAAAAAATACTCAAAGTGTACTCACCTGTACATAGGTAATGTAAATTATATTATCTGGTAGTAAAACAAAAAAGAAAACATGCAGTGCCGTTTAAACTGCAGGCACAAAAACCATGAATACTTTTTTCTGCACATGACTTGATACATAATATGCATTGTTTTGAACAGCAGAAAAACAAAAAATCAACAACAGACCTACAGAATTGTTACTGAAACATCTTTGATTCTATAAACAATGATTCGATATGGCGATGAAATCACGACTAAAATTGAAGTCGCATTCGTAATAAAGTTAAATGAGTTTGAAAATATTTGGTCTAGACTTCAGCTCGAATCAATATGTGCCGAAACAAAACTCATTTGATTTAAGTTTTTAAGGTAAGCTTGTTTTTCAGCCGCTCCGTTCAATTTTGAACATAACATGTTACATTTATTGTCCAGAGCATAAGGTTAAATGATGTAATTTCAATCTCAAATTAACATAATTAATTATATCAAAAAGAGGTTTTTTTACCTCTGTCCCACTTTGATCATGGCGTCTGACTTGAATTAAATATCATGATAAAAAAACTATATCTGCCAGCTGACACAAATCATTCAGAACTGATTGTCAGACAAAGGCAGCGGAATTAAATCTAAATTGAGCAAACTCATCTTTATGTCACCTTGCTGCATTCTAAATTTATTCTAGGTAATATTTAAATGAGACTGTAGTTAATAGTTCGAATCTTCTTATCAGTTGCTGGTGTGGTATAGACCTGTATTATTTTTATTATATGCATTGCTATTATGTTTTTACATAACGTACGTTGGTTATCAAGGTCAACAATGTTATTTCTATGTGCTAAAGGTGTCGCTAGTGGCGATGGTAAACAATTTGAACTCTCAAGTTGATTCTTTTACGTCTTTTCATAAAGTCTTACGTTGCTAAGTGCTGCAAGTGCATATTTTGGCGCAGTCAGAGCGAGAATGGAGCTAAAGCGGTCCAGGCGTTTTTCCGAACGGTCCATCCCAAGAACCACTGGTATATTAGAAGGATTGGGCTCAAAAACTCCAGTTAGTAGTCATTGCGAAGGAGAAAAGGAGAAGGTCATTGCGATAGAGAAAAGAGAATTGCTTGAACAGAAGTACCTGAGGGAAAAACGTATTGCACATTGGAGGAGCCGGTGGGAATTGAGGACGTGAGGATGCGAATGGGAAGGAAAGGGCGAATCAACACAGCCATTAAAACAAGATGGAGAGAAAAAGAAAACCGACGGGCGCAGGACAACAAGCAGACTATTGCAAGGCAATACCCGGGCAGGGCAGACAAGAGACTGAAACCTAAAATATTTTTATCGTGAGAAAAGCAAAGACAGAGGCACTATTTAAATCAAAAGTGCCATCATATGAAGACTGTCGAGGTTACTTTACGGAATTGTGGAAACGCATTTATGAAGGAATCCAATGTGACGAAACAAACGTTCACGATATTTGAAAAAAGACAGAAGAAGAATGAAAAAATGATGGGTACGAAAATTATTTTTGGCACTTCGAGTGATCTAACTCGAAGACAAGACTTTGGACCAGAAGAAACATTGATTGTGCGAGATGGACGTATTCAAATTCAATGTGAGAAAATAGAATTTTAGAAATCAACAACGTACGAAAATTTTGAGCCCTACTGACACTCTCTTACCAGCAGTAGTGTGAGACCGAGGAGTGTTAATGTAAAAAAAATTAGTGCAATTATCCCAAAATTTTGACGGAGCCGTTCTAGCCCATTGCAACCAACCAAGTCAGGACAAACTCAGTTTACGACAAGAAGAGCCAGTAAAAGTTCTCAAGCGACAAATGCTTGTCATATTTCATAATTGTGCTAGCCTGCTAAAATCAAACCACCTGGATAAATGTCCGTCAAAGAACAATGTTGTGTTTGTAACAATTTTAGCGGACGAGCTCATTTTGACAATTACCGAAAACATTGAGGTTGATCAACCTGAAGGATTGGACGAAATTTTACAATTTGAAACAAATATTTTCCGACAATTCGGTAATAAAGAAGACGGCAATAAGTTTGGCGTGTTTGCTTCCAGGACGGTTTGGAATCGAACGGCATAGAAAAATCGGAAACTTACTTATATTGCATTGGAGATGCGCCGTTGGCGAACTCAATTCCAGTCAGACTACACGAGTACGTTCTCATTCAATTCATGATAGAAGTTTCACCATCTGAAATTGAGCAGTGTAGTGTTGAAAACGTTAGTCGTTCAATAGTAATTTCCAAAAGATAATCAACTTGATCTCACAAAGTTAACATTCAGAGTGGTTCTAAAGATTATCCAAGGGTGACAGACTGTGCCAAGGATAACACCTACTAATAGATTAATTTAGCATCACGAGTAACAGTTGATTGACGGCTTGCAATTTGAACTAAATAACACTATACGACACTTCCCCTTCAATAGATGAAACTTTAGATGACTGAAAATATAACGACATATGTTGATTATAAATGACTGATAAGGAAATACTGACTGCATGTTTGAAGAATGATAAACGACTTTTCTGACAACAAGTTTTATCAACTAAAAAAGGATCACTTAGCAGTGATGGCGTTTGAGTTTTAAGTCACAAATGACCAACCCTCTCCCTGGGCTAGAAAGTTTGTTTATGGTTCAGTTTAACTATTTCTTTAAGGTCACTTCTTTCCCTCTTTTTCATTCTGATTGATGAAGTCAATCATCACCCCTCCCATCTTGGTAACCGCAGTTCTTTTTCTTCCGCTTCTTCGAGACGCTGTAGATCCTGTTTCGTCCTGGCTATCCCCCTGACTGCTATACGAAACCAGTCTGGCCTTCCTTGTCGTTCCCTTCTTTTTACCTGGTGCTGGCAATGACGCTGGCAGTGACTGGTCCCCTGGATTTGGCGCTGATGGATCCCTTGGATTTCTGTTCAAAGCGCCGCTGAGTGCCGGAATTGTGTCTTGGTCGCTTCCAATATCCACGTCTGTTTGTGTTATTGCTGTTGGTCCTGTTTGTGCTATTGCTGTTGATGTCTCAGCGCATGGTTGTTTTGCCCGTTTGACCAAAATAATCGGCAAATCTTCGCTATCTTCCGATTCAGAACCACTGTTCTCAAATCGGCGCCCGGTTTTCTTCCTTTGCTTTTCTGGAGCAATTCGTTTTGTCGCTCGCTCTTTAACCTCACGCGGGGTTGGCGGTCATAAAACCGAATGTGATACTGCTTTTGTCTTTTTTGACTTTGGCTTTGTGGCCACCCCCGATTTTCTAAGCACAACTCCATTATTTAAAGTTAACGTATGAGCACTTTCTGCTTTAACTTTCGAATGAAGTTGTTTATACCTTTTGAGATTTCGGTTTCCAGTTTGGTGGAATATTAATCCAGAGGCTCCCAGTTTTCTGCTGGTGCTTGCGGATTTGAGGATTGACGGTTCGTCGTTTTGTTGGCTGATTGCTCATTGGTCAGCCGGCGCGCGTGGTTCCTATGCTTAATGCGTATGCCAAATCCGATCGTACGCCCCAGTTCGTGTCAGTAGGGTGTGGCATATACATCGCATTTGGGTCGGCGTCATCTAAACAAGAATTTTTTGTTTTTATAACCCGTGACCAGTCCAGATTTTGAAGAGATGGTTTTTTAGTAAGGTTCCGTAAGACCGTGTTCAATTCTCAACCATGATGCGCCTCGATTGGTGAGACTTTTCATGTTGCATTCTTTGAAAATCTGAGAGCACCAAGGGCCATTTCGATCATTTTTTCCAAGGGTTTGGGATATTTTTCCTGGACGAAAGTCAGAATAGAGTTTTAAGGACTACCAATGGCACGCTCGACGCACCCAGTTGCCCGATGATCGTTCACTGGTGATTTTATGATTTCCGTGCCCTCCCCATTACAGAATGCTTTAATCTCGTTTGACATTAAACTCGTTCCCTGATCCACGTGAATTTGTCTTGGCACCCCATGATTTGTTAAATAACTTTTAAAAAACTTCAGTTTTTTATCAGACCGATTATTTCCACAGACCATTGCCAATGGCCAACGAGAAAACCGATCGACCGCCACTAACACATATTTCCGGGATTCGTTTAAATAATTAATGGAGCCCTTCGTTGAAATAATTTAAAGTTCTTAACGGCGGCGGTACATTCGGGGCAATCTTCAGCCATTAAAGCTATTGATCAACAAGTATAAGGGTACCAAACGTCTTTTGCGGCATCAAACATATTGGTTTTTCTGTGGTGGTAGGCATGAATTCGATTGTTAGTTGCAGTTTGGAGGTTCATGGGTATTACCAGTTTTTCATCCATCCACAATACATTTCCCTTGAGATAAAAATCGTTGACGAAATGGAAATAATAACGGTTCATAGATTTAATTTTTTCATGAATGTTAGGATCCTGTGAAACTATGAGGTCGCAAATTGCGCTCAGTTGGGGGTCAAAAACATAATTAGATTCGATGAATTTTAGATTAAACAAGTCAGGTAAAGAGGTAATCTTATTAACGATCTTGCAATTCCGAGGAATAATTGACATACATATTGAATTTGTATCCACGGATGATATTGTCTCGCCTTTGAATGCCGAGAGTAACGAAAGGGTAGTGTTTGTCCGAACTTATTTTGTTTCTTTAGTTATGGCGTCTAGAGATATATTATTCTGCGGTAATTCTTCAATCTCATCACTGTTGCTGTTTAGACTCGGGTGTTGCTTCAAGAATTTCTGCCGTTTTTTCATATTTCTATCCATTTCGGTTCGAGGTTCTGAGTTTTGGAATTTAGAACTTGATGGATTTAAACAATTTTTCTTTGATTGAGTAATAGCACCAACTAATTTACTGCGTATTTCGCGTTGCCGTCGGTTTAAACCATTTGTTCGATTCTGATTGGTCGATTTCCTCTCGCATGGCGTTCCGCCCTCTACCGGACAAAACTTTCAATCTATTTATAGGTTGTTTACTTTCCGCTTTGATATGCGGTCTCTTGGATTGATAA